CTAATTTTTTTAAAATTTAAAGATGACAATATATTTTGACTGTTTATTTTTATACAAATACAAGTAAGAAAAACCGACATCTGATTCAGTACATAAAGAGTTGTAGATTTCTGCAAAGGTCGGTGCTAGGGTGTATATATGGCATCTTCATTATCTCTCATTTACAGACTTAATCAATCAGGTTTCCACCTTGTCACTTCAGTTTTCATTGCTCCCGAGGGATCTTTCCTTGCCAGATGTTTTCTGTTTATTCTATCTGCATAAATCAGTAGGTAAATCTCGCAGACAAGATCTCTCATTTCTGTTTTCCTTAAACTATTGTTATGGCTACTCTTATTGTCATGTTTAAATTAGACAAATTATCACTATCATTAATATAGTCACATATCAGTGTTTTCTGACTCTAAGAATATAATGCATGTTGTAACATTTGTCAAATTTATAATCAATAACGTTTATTATTACAAGAATGAATCCAGGCATTGACAGCATCTTATAATGTCAAATAAAAATAATAAGATGTTTGTAATGAAAAGAAAACAAGCAATATAAGAATCAGTTTTCGTTTTTCGAATAGTCAGCTTTGTGAAATGTTATCCCTCTTTTGTCATTTTGTTACAAAATAAAAAAAAATGTTATTCTGAAAACGTATGATTGGGAATGATGCAAGTCCAGACCACACAAAAAATATTAAACTTGAAGTTTTAACATGGAAAAATGGCAAAAATTGATAAACTTTAAAAAGGATACAATTTTTTTAAATAAATACCAAAGATGATAAATATTCATATTAAGTTTATCTTATCTATCTTAAACGTCTGTAAATAATCAACGTTTTCATAGTAAAATATCGAAGTTTCTGGTAATAAAAAGATATAAATAAACAAGACACATTGTTGAGTTAGTGGTCAATAAATATCAGCATGTTCAGAAACTAAAAGCTATAGACTAAGGTCGGGAACTAATTACTGAGTGCATGAAATTCATACCGGATGCTTATATTCAAACACAAGGATATCGTTAAAAAGGTAGAATATCTATTCCGTACACATTTATTGACAACATTTCTTATAAAGTGCACCGTCGTACGGTGCAAAATACCAATCGCAAATTCTCGGCCCTTTCCGTCAAACATCGTACACAATTGTGAGAGTACGGTATTTCGGCGTTACGGTAATCAAATAGTAATTTCGTGCTAGAAGTTGAAGGCTAAACGCATATCAATATATCGTGTAAAAGACCCATTAAATTAATTCAATTTACAGATATAACAGTAAACAGTGCATTATTTATATACATACTGTCTTATGGTTGTGGAACTCGAAAGTACAAAATGGCTACTGGCCTGTTGACATTTATTCGGATTTGGTTATAATTGTACATGAGTCAGCATTTTTAAATTAATAATGATTGTCAGACATATGTTCAATCGTAATTTCACCGAAATAGACTTTATTTTACTCTTGGAAGTCAAATATATACATTCGTTACACATTCTCAAAGATTACAGCGTCTGTTTTGTTTAGATCTAAAACCACGTGGTATTACAACTTCTAATCCGAGGTCCTAGGTTATTATTGATAATAGCCGAGATCTCCCGATTGGTAAAATGTCTGTCTGTTATGCTTTATCATTACATGATTTTTATATTAATTAATTGTTATATTGTCATTGTTTATGGAAATGGTGAAACAAGTGCCTTCACGTTTTTGAACACAAATTTTCATAGCAAGTATTACACAAATCAAGTCCTTCTTCCCACATTTCGCCATCCTATTTTATATGTAAAACGTTTGTATATTAAAGCTGCATGTCTCCATATGAGCCAAACTATTTTTTAAAATTAATCTTGAGAAAAATGTGCTGCATTTTAAGAAAAATAAACTTATTCAAGATTCAAGTAAAATTTTACATGTTACAATCCGACCCCGCTTATTCGAACACCCGGCATTATCCGAAGTAGATCAATGGCCCCGTTTTTAACTCTATATACATTATTATGAACACAAACGAATTATTCGGATTGTATTTTCTGAATACCTTTTTTTTTCGAAGTAACATTTCCGTTCCAATTATCCAATTATGAGAGAATTTCATATTTAGAGCATTTTCTAGTTTGATCCTTCACTAGAAATTAGTATTTTTTTGATATCTTATGTAAAAGTGTATGGTTAGTTTAAAAATCACAAAAATATATGTCATGGGATTAGATTTAGTGTTAAATTAAAGTTTCCATGGTAACTATTTACATCAAAATGATAAAATTCATAAAAATAGCTGTAAAAATGAAAATACAGTTACATATGCCATCAGTTACTCAATAAATATGTATACATATAGAAAGCGTTTTACTGTATTGTTATTTTGTGGATTAAAGTAAAATTGTATCTGTTTTCTTTACAATTTTTTATTCATCACCATAGTTTTGGTGCGATACTAACGCGGTTAGGGCTAGTTTTGCATAGTTTGACCATTTTGTTTGGACTGTATGTGTAAATTACTTTCTTTGTCCACTTCACAAACTTTTGCTTTTGAAAACATTTTTATTTTAAAATGTTCATGAAAATTAGCATGAATATGGAGGCCTGCTGCTTAATAATAGAAAGGAATGTAGATACAAACATTTACCAAAGCTGAAATTTTACAACATCCAGATTTTAAATGAACGAGCTGGTTATGATCATACAATGTTGTGATTTTGACATATTTGTTTCCGTTATTGAAACATCACTGTGATACAATAGTAAATGCAATGAAGTATTAAATAGGAAGTTAATAATAATTATCAAATGCAAATATCAAAGCTGCTTTAATAAAACTCATATTCCGCATTTAATTACCACAAATAGCAAGTTACCCCATATCATCTATTAAATGTGTGTTTTTTCCTTTTGTTAAAGCAAACTATTTTCACAATATCTAATAAACAAACATTTGGTATTCGATTGTCTTTAAAAAGCAGTACAATATTTAAGGAAGATGTAATTATCGCATGCAGCCACTCTATGGAACCGTCTAAAAGCGGTAACCGGAATCTAATCTTGGCGCAGTGATTTCCATGTCACGCCCCGTAATGACGTCAATGGTTCTTATGTTAGAAGTGATATATGCTGTCTAGGAAATATCTATAACCAAGATCGACCCCTGTGTGCAGCTAATATGATTTATAACATTTTCTTTGGAATTACCCTTTGATATTTTTATATTTATATTTTATCATAAGGTTTGTTGGTAGACGTGGGGGTAGATTATACTTACCACTACAGTTCACAAAAAGGCCCTCCACATTTTCAATGGTTGGCGTTTTGGGCATTGTTTAAGTTTTCATTACATTGAATGAATTTATTTATACCGTATAGAACACCAAGTTAATACGTGTGCATTTTTCTTCATACACGAAGGAGATAAGAACACTTTCCTCCGGAGAAAAAAAAACTTGAACAAAATGATGGGTCCATTAAACAAGTTAAATCAATACAAGGTATCGAACAGGAAATTTACATCGAAATCAAACGGTATATTATGGGCACAAAAAAGAAAGATCTATCATTTAAAGAATAATAATGAAATAAATAAAATCAAATTTAGTAAATTTAAAATAATTTAATTAAATCAAAATAAATAAATAGATAAATAAATAAATAATGAATGAATGAACCGTCTCCGTGGTCGAGGGGTTAGAGTCGATGACTTCTAATCCAGTTACCTCTCTGGCGTGGGTTCGATCCCCGGGAGATGCTTTGGTAGTTTAGCGCGGAGGAAGGTAGTCTAGTACTGGTGTAACTCTCCAGGAACGATGGTTAGGAAACTACCCGCCTATATGACTAAAATACTGTTGGAAAAAGGCGTAAAATGAAACCAAAAAAAAAAGCAAACAGAATGAATGAATGAATGAATAAATAAATAAATGAATGAATGAATATTTATATAAATAAAAAAATAAATAAATAAAAAAACAAATGAATGAATAAATTTATAACAAAATGAATGAACAAACTTATTTAAAAATAAATAAATAAATAAATAAATAAATATTATTATTCCCATTTTGATAATTTAAAACATAAGTTTTACTGGGTTCTTATAACTAATAAAAATATATACACAATTCTGCAATTCGGCCAATGTGTCACTACAACTGCATTTTAAAATTCATTTCCTTAATTATGCATTGGAAAGATATTTACATTACCAACAATCTCACTGATTAATAGTATTATTTCCAAGCTGAATCGGTTCTTTTTTTATTTATTGGTGCCATTTAAACAAAACCTTCAAGTAAACTCAGTTATCTATTTTGTCATTAATTCCTACATATATCTCATATTTCCTAATCCGAGGCAGCAATTTTGCAGGAGAAATGTTAAGATAAAATGCTTTAGGCTTAACCTTAATGGTTCTAATTACGACAACTCTGAGTTTCCAGACATGATTAAATAAGAGTTATACGAAAAGAAATCCAGAAATTCAAGAAATGTGGATTTATGAAAATAAAAGACTGAAAAAAAAAGTTCACTATTTGTACGAAGTTTTAGTAGTTTTAAAGCATGAGCTATTTTGACAAGATATTTAAATAAAGGATATTTGGTTGTAAATATGTAAATACCGGGTGATTACCGAAACTCAGGGAAAAATAAACCTGATTATGTTCACTTGTGAAATGTATTATCTTTCATTCAAAACACATATTTTTTATATATTTTTTATTTCTGTTTTAATTCAATTTTACTGATTTCCTTCTGCATAAAGTCAAGCGCTTTCCTTCATGTTGTCATTAATTCATAGCGTAACAACCATTCTTTTAAGAAACCGTTGTGTATTACAATGTAACATGATATAGCAATAAATTTGTTAAAACACATTATTTATTAACACTTTTTCAGGAAACTACGGCGAGAAGGGGATAGAAGAGTTCCGAAACTTAGCAAAGACAAAAAACATATGTATAGCCAATTCTGAAGCTGCCCCAAGTGTTGAAAACGATGTCGCTTTCAACAAAATAATAGAAACGCTCTTGAAGACGGAGCGCGCGCGTGTGATCGTCTGCTTCTGTGAAGGGATGACTGCAAGACGTCTGATGATGGCTATGAAACGTACGCCAAAAGCTAGTTCACGTTTTCAGATTCTTGCCAGGTTTGTTATAAGATTTAGAATTATTATAAAACTATTTTACTGCAATGCAAGCTTATTAAATGCAGACGTTTTTTTTAATGTAATTATGCTTATATTTCTATGGTTGATGCTAGGTACAGGCGGTTTGACTGGAATACTAACAAAAAATTATCGATTTTTCCCGCTAATCCACATTACATCTGAATCATCGGTGGGAAACGAATGAACTTTAGACTCAAGGTCCTACATCAAGTGTCAGACAGAAAAATGTTGCCTGTCCCGAGGATCGAACCAGAAATCGCTGGAATACAAATCCGATGCCTCTCTGTCGAGCTAATTAGGCCGTTGTTACCTGCTGTTGTTCAATTCGATTATTTTCATACAAATTTGAATATAAAATTTGAATAAAATTTGAATGGGAATCTTTGATCACTTTTTATTTTATTCATACATTTGTTTTATATGTACATAGCATGGATCTAAGGATATACCACTAATACCATGACTAAGGTAAAAAACGGAGAAGTAAAAACAAAAATATATCAGCATGATATATCATATATGCTTTGCTAACAAATGTACGATCAGCCTTACACTTCCGACAAAGACATACATATATACCTGTATTTCCATTTGTCAATATTAGACTGTGTATATGTCTGTATTTTCTCATCTTCTAACGTCTACATAGACACTGTCCTAAAACATATCTGTATTTCTTTGTTTTCTATCCTTACATCATATACAATAAACGTATATTAAATACTTGTACATCCAGTCCTTCAAATTGTACATCATAGACTTAAACTTCATACTTGATAATGATATTCACGAGTTGCTGTTTGGAGTGAAGTATCCGGCCCTAGAGTGCCTGTGGAGGGGCAAGTACTAGAACATGCACCAGAGGGACGATCATTCTCATCTGAACTGCAAACACATGTCATATATTCTTTCTTACACATTCTAACATTAACATGGCTATCTTTTAATAGATTATTTTTTTGTAATACTTAATACAAGAACAATGTATGGAGGGCGTTCTTTGCCAAAATTCCAGACATGTAAAAAGTTCCTTTTGAAAATGCAAATGTGTATGCCAAGCATATACAGTTTAAAATGCTCGGCATCCACATTTGCGTTTTCAAAAGTAATCTTCAAAAGGAACACTTAACATGTCTGGAATTTTGGCAACGAACGCTCTCCATATACAATGTACTAATGTAATTTCGTTCGATGCCACTTTCTTATATTATTAGCATATTAATGTACAGATTAAAAAAAAACGGCAAAATACCATCATTCTAAGGAATGAAATTTTTAGCATGATGTGTAAAACTAACGGTCTGATACACAAGAATGTTGTTACTATTTTTTAGTGCAGCTGATAGCACGCTGTAACTGTCGATACACGTACATATTAAAGCCAGATAAATATTTATTAATAAGCTGTATAGATTGTTCGGCATTTAGTTTCATATATAATTAGTTAAAATATCATTTATAAAATGTTTGTAATGCATTTACTTACCAAATTGAAAGGAGTTTGGCGTAAATGAAATGTGTATAGTCATTAAATATCATAGATCTTAGTAATTATAACTTCTGCCTGTCCTAGGCAATATTGATTCGTATTTTCTATCATTATGAAGTGATGGATGGGCAGACAGACCGGATGTTGTGTCGGGTATAGAAGATGTTGCAGTCGGTGCCATAACTGTTAAACTAATGTCAAATAAAATTCCTTCATTTGACACGTATTTCAAGTCACTAAAGCCGGAAAACAACAGCCGTAATCCTTGGTTCCGTGAGTTCTGGCAATGGAAATTTAAATGTTATCTCCGTGGCTTACCACCGGAGGAGCAGGATACCAGACAACCTAAACCCTGCACAGGTATATATGTCATACAATTTCTGGTAAATCATTGTGAAACATGACATTTAATTAGATAATCATTGAATAAAGCTTTTAGAGTTTAGTTGAAGTCACATTATTCTCATTTATTTCGTTGTTAAATTGAGTTGAAATAGCGATATATTTAGAGATTGATATTATAATAATGATTGACCAATAATTGAATTAGATCGATTTCTACTCACTGTACCTTTATCTTTAATATGTCGTTATTCAATTTTGGAACTATTAAAATTAATATTTAATGCTTTTTTTTGTCAGGGAAAGAGACAATTACCGACTTTGTTCAGGATGCAAAGCTTGGCTTTGTCGTCAAAGCAATATACGCTCTTGCCCATGCTCTTCACAACATGCATCGTGATTTATGTGGTGAGGAGTCTGGACTCTGTGACAACATGGCGGTCCTTGATGGCGGACTGTTCCTAGACTACCTTCTAAATGTATCTTTCTCCTACGAACGAGAATCCGTCTTCTTCGATGAATTCGGAGATCCACCACCAAGGTAAGGTATATCTTATTGAATATATATAAACGCAAAACTCTGTCCATCTAACTGTATAATGTTCTGAAGTCGAATGCTAGATCTATATGTAATTGGCCAGTATGGCTAACCTCTAGATACAGTATCTTATTTTGAGAATTTAATAACTAAATATTGCAAGCATTTATACAAAACTGTGCATACTTTATTCCATCATTGCTATTACTTCTCGTTTCCAGATTGTTTTAACATTTGTCATAGTTACTGAAAAAGAAATTCCTTTTCTGTTGTAGATATTATATTGTTAATTACCAAATATACCAGAAGCACATGGGCTGGACTGTAAACGAGAGTTACAAATATGAAACAATTGGTTCATGGAATAGTGGTGTTTTAACTATGGATGACAATAGAGTGTACTGGCCTAAGCATAATCACGGACATGCCACAAAATCTATATGCAGTGACGATTGTCCTAAAGGACATGTTAAGGTATTATTACATTCATTGTCTTTATTTTTTTCGTTAATTACATATTTATTTAGAAAGTATTATTAATCTTACATAAACATTTGAAACGACACTTATTTTCATGTGTTAAATATAAAAGTTAAATAAGTTATTTTTTTGTAATATAACTGACATTAGTATCGAAGGCATTTATGAAAAGTTTTAAGAATTAACTAATTTCAGAAAGTACATGGCAACATTGCCTGTTGTTGGGTATGCACACCTTGTCAAGCAAACGAGATTATGTTAGATAGCGAAACGTGTCTACCATGTACTCTAGGGTGGTGGCCTAATCCAAACCTCACAGGTTCGTAACAATGTTTAGCGTAAATACTAGTATTTTATAATTTCAGAGTGGATGAACAAATTGTCTGTTCCATGTGTTGCAAGAATAAACAATTCAATGCAAATACTGTCTTACGATTACAAGCGCATGTTACTTCTGATCATTGTAACCTTTTTGAGAGCCAAAGAAGTCTGCTTAAACCTCTCTCGCGGTATTAAAAAGTAAACCTGTGAACACTGTGAATTAGATCAAAAGTTTGTCTCTGTCATACATATTCTTTTCTGGTACAATCAATAAGATACTGACCGATTTACCAAGTAACAGAAGTCAAGTACATACTGTTTTGTGTTATATGAAAAACCTGGAAGATTACTGTCTCTTCATAGTACCCCTTACACAAATTAATGCTAATGATCGTCAAATTGTGAGATTTTTCTTTAATATGATGGAAAAATTTAATGACATGTAAAGCTTCATAGTTACTTTAAGAGGACTTAAACGACTTTCAAATTTCATTTTGATTTGGAAAAAAATTCAGTATTCAAATTGTTTCAAACTAAGTATTTCAATAATGTTGTCTTGGAAATGTGCATCATATCACTGTTAAGCCTTCTACACAACAGCGTCCTAGGGCTAATTATAACATGCTAGTGACGTTCAAATAGTAATTTACATATAGAGAGCGGACCGGAAAGATATCGAGAGTTTCTTTAGGGGTTTCCTTTGTTGTAATTGTTTATGCATTTTATGGGTGGGAAATTTCATTTTTCACGCTTATTCATTTGATTGGACGGTTTATATGAAAATAACGTATTTAACCTTTAGAAAAGTTGGAGGCCGCTTTAAGTTTAAATCTTTCTGCAGTTCAGATAATATTAAAATATAGATAAATTTCTTCTACTTCAGAATGCATAACAATACCTGTTGAGTATATCAATTGGTGGGATACTGAGGCAATGGTTGCACTAGTTACAGCCTGTGTCGGGATGTTCGTTACCCTCTGGATAGCAGTTGTATTTATACGTCACAATAATACGCCTGTTGTCAAAGCATCAACACGAGAACTCATGTATATCATTCTTATAGGCGTGTTGATGGCATTTTGCAGCAACTTCGTCATCGTGGCAAGACCAACGCTTGTGTCGTGTTATTTTACACGGATTCTTCCGGGAATGTCATTTTCTCTTATTTATGGTGCTCTTGTAACAAAGACAAACCGTATAGCACGGATATTAGAGGGCACGAAGAAAATAATTACGAAAAAGCCACGATTTATGAGTGCGTCTGCGCAAGTCATTATAACATGTATAATTATTGGAGTAGAGTGTGCTATAATTACTATAATGCTTGTGATTGAACCGGCAGACTCAAAATTAGATTATCCTGCACCAAAGCGAGTAAAGCTCATTTGTAATACAACGACCATGGGAATTATAGTTCCACTCGGCTTTGACCTGGTGCTTATTGCTATGTGTACTCTTTACGCAATCAAAACAAGGAACCTACCAGAAAATTTTAACGAAGCAAAATTTATTGGATTTTCTATGTACACAACTTGTGTAATTTGGCTCGGCTTCATGGCAATCTATTTTGGGAGTGAAAGGAAAGTAATTACCATGTCAGTGTCGGTCTCTTTGAGTGCTTATGTTGCGCTTGTGCTCCTCTTCTTTCCAAAGGTGTATATTATAATCTGGGCACCGGAGAAGAATACACGGAGCGCCTTCACAACTTCTAAAGATGTGCGATGTCATATTGGGTCAATCTCATGCGCCTCGGGGGAAAGTATAGATCTAATTAGGTAAATAAAGAGAATTGCACTCTGCTTTATAATTATATTAACGAAACTAAGTTTCTCCGAATGCCTCTGGTTTTATTGTTCTGTTATAAATTTCCAATCTCTTGAGAGCAATAACTGGTAATCACGTAAGGTGTGTGATAAGTTTAGTAAATAATTCTTTTCAAATTTAGTTTTAGTATGCAATAAGGACCATTAACATTGACTCAACATAGAGAAAAAAAACTTGTTCGTAGGCAAAATGTACTCTAAAATGAAATGAACGAATACATCAAGTTAAGTGACACACTTATAGAAGTATCGTTTAGTCCATCATTTTATTCCCGCTAAAGTAAAAGCCTGTATAAAAAGAGAGCAGATTGACTGGAATGAACCATAATACCACAATAGATGAGGATTCATTTGTATTTGTAAACATGATAAAGTTAATAGATAATAAGATTTGTCATGAAGGAGGTTTGTTAAGATGTTATATTTGCCGTAGAATCAATTAACCATGGCTAAGTAATGCAAAGTAATAAAATAAATATCTTATTGTTGAATAATGTAACAAAATATGTGAATCATAAACACAGCGTACATCCAGTTAATCATGAATGTGCAATTAATCAAAAGGTAACGCCAAGTCTGTGCAAGGCTATGCCCAAAACGAATAACACGGTATTTCTTTTTGCTTGGGTTTCACGTCGAACCAACAGAGTACAGGTCATATGTCGACTTTTCATGTTAAAATGGTGAAGGAAGGCATAAAATGCCCTTCCGTGCATTATTACAGGCACGAACGATCTCCTGCATAGAGCCACCGATGTACGGTAAATTAGCTGGATAGCTTCCTCACATTAAAGAATCCCAATTCCCTGTCGAGTTTCGAATCCACAGGGGTGAAAGTCGAGTGGTTTAATGTCAACGACCTTAACTACTCAACTACTCAGCCACGGACACCCTAGTAAAACTGTAATTGAACGAACCAAAAAATTAATACCCTGAATGAACATAAGATAAATGAAAAAGCACATGCGGCTGCAGAGACATTGTATTTTAACCAGCATTAACTTTTTTCTCTGAATATATTTACATTTTTAGATTATTCTTGAGAAAGACGACCTGACTACCGTTTTGAAGGCGTGTTTTATGTTTTCACGAAATTTATAAGAACATAATTGCATTTAAAACTTTTTTCTTCATGTTCGGTATTTCTGTTAACATTTGCCTAACGTCTATTAATGTATAACACTAAAATGAAATTAAAATGAGATTCGACTACTTTTAATGAGGTAACAAGTGTTGCTCTGGTGCATCTCCTGAATTCGGCGTTGCCTCTCTGCTAATTTAAGTGTAACATGACATAAGTACACCGAATATCAAAAACCATAACGTGATATATACTTTATTGTATTTAAATATATCGATGAAACACAAAAGTCGTGCTAATCATTCAAATGATCTTAAAAGATAAACACTGTGGAATTTATGGGAATATTTTGATGATGTTAAACATATAATGCCTCAGCTACCGTATGCGCGAAATCATTTTAATTTTTTCAATTTGATAAACAGTAATTACATTGTATATTGGTTCATTTACGTTCCGTGCAGCTCGTTTCGGCCACAGAATTGCACAATTACGTTACTTTTGCACAAATTCTGTGTTATTAGTACATTGCTGCGTTACTAGATTTACACGACAACAACAACAAAATAAATTAAAAGTATAGGCATTACGTATTTTAGATATTTTAGCACGTTTCAGTTTAAAGCCGTCACATAAACGACACAATTAATGTTTATTAATGAAAGTACTTTTAAATAACATATTTATTTATACTAATCCTAAAATTATTTTATGCAAATTTATGCCACTTTTTTAACTTACATTTTAAAGGCATGGTAAACGTTTATTGTTAAATTACATTTTCGCAGAAGCTAACAACATTATTCATTTCAAACTTGATGTACTTGTTTACTTTCAACATATGACACAATTCCAGAAAGGCAAATATCTTTCATTGTTATGCCCATTTGTGACTTTTATCAGAGACATTCACTTAAAACTTGGAGTTTTTGTTCACTTTCAAATAACACATGAATTGCTTTTCTAAGGGGCAGATAATCATGAAAGCCATTGTTGCTTAATCATTTCCCCTGTTTTACATTATATAGAATATTTTCCAAAAAGCCGTTGAATTTATTCTCTTTAATTTTGAAACATTTTTTACTCCCGCGGGCAGGTGTGTTTGCTAAGGAACGTTTGCAGAATAATGTCCCCTAGTATTGCTTTTGTTTACTCTCCAGTATTTAGAAAAGTAGAGCGGACTGGTTCCAGACAAGTCCTGCTTAACTAGCTAATCATTAAAAATGTTTCTTGGCATGCTTAATTCTAATGCAAATGAGTATAACTGTAAAATAGATGTTTTGTTTGTATACTGATCTTCTTTGTATTACAGTGTGGTTGGATAATAATTGTCAAATAAAATTCAAAGAAAATGATAGATTTTACTAACATACTGTTATATATGGTACCAAATTTGTGCCATGTCGTTCTTAAGCTCCGCTTTGCCCGGGCGAAGACACGAAGATACGAAAGTAGTGACTTTGTCGTATTTTGTTTGGCACAAATCAGCCACTATAGTTATAATCATAAACCTTTATCAAATTCATATTGTAACATTTTTTATCATTTTTTCAGGGATGTCAAGCAGATTGATGGTTTAAAAGTTCCTGCTGGCAGGCGACGAGCTAGTTTTTTCCAAAGACTGCGATACGGAGGGACAGGACATCACAAAAGGCATCAACATATGCCATCATCAAGGTTGAAGAGAGATGCTACTGGTAAAATAAGGCGCGAAAACTCATTCCACGTGTCTGCATCAGCTGGCAATTCTTCCTCAAAAGGGGGATCATTTTCTTGGGCTAAAATGTCGGCTGCTGGAACTTCTGAGGAGGACAGACTTAGTACAATTAGCAGTAAAGATGGATCAGACGAGGTAAAGCGAAAACATTCCATTTATAAACGCGAATGCGGCTGCCAAACGGAACCGGAACTCATGGAAAGTATTTTAAACATGCCGTATTTACGCAGACGATGCAGTCAACGCATACAACGCACAAGGGCTATTGATGAGGACTATGCGTCAGTGAAATTTAGCCCAAATAATAGTATGAAAGTTCGTTATCAGCGACCGACGAGTGATTCAATCAAAAATGGTAAAGGACCGGCTGTTCCACCACAAAGTATTAAACCCACTAATCGTGGTGATTGTCGAACATTTCTGTTTCCGGGTTATTCGGATAGCCCTTTGTCAACATCAGACGACATTGAAAATGAAGAAGACTTCGAATATTATGACAGCATTTCAGATTTACTTAAAGCTCATAAGATAACACCTGTTTATATTGATAAGAAAACTCCAGTGTGTGTGAATGATAAGTCAATGTCTACATATCTAAATCCACTCGGTAACCGTGATATAAATGACTCGTCAGTAGACGAAGATTCGGAAAAGCCATTATTAAATGGTGAGAATAAATCTCCAGAGCTCGAGGAACCAGATGATGGTGTTCGTTTAATTGTTGAAAATGGTGTAGATGGTACAAACACATCAGTCTTAAAAGACTCTTCGTCATCCCATTCTCCATTCCATATTGTCACTATAGAACAAAACCAATCTAGTCAGAATGTTAGCGATCAAAACGCTATAGATATCCAAACTCATACAAGTAACCAAAGAAACTCCATTTGCAATAACTTATCAAAAGACGTTCAAAACAACAGTATTAACGCAAAACGTCGCTCATCCTCGCCCATTTTATCTCACGTGTCTTGCCATTCCCTAAATATTTCAGACGATAAAAGTAGACGGAGACCGAGTGCCTTGAGTCAGGGAAGTAATATTATGGCACACGATCAGCCTGTTAAGTCATTTCCCGGATGTAAAAGTGCAGACGATATGACATCTAATGACTTTGCTAATAAAGTTGAAAATTCGGACAAAAGTATGGTCGAATTCCAAACATTCCTAAGAGAACGAGGTGTCGAGTTGGATATGAATTATATTGAAAGTAGTGAAGTTTGAAATAACCTTACAGTGGCAGTGAATCTCACACCAGCTCCAATTGCTGTAAAAAATAGTATGGTAATTTTCTGGGTTAATTACCCGTTTACCAGTTCTGAAAAGCAAAGGGAAAGAGGAAAGTCGATAAAAGCGCTGAAGAAAAACAAATTCCAAGTCATTGTTTCACGTGTTTTTGTAATCGTATGTAGTTAAATAGATATAGAGGAAAGGTCCGGAAGTTCGAAAGTAACAACATTGTAGCATAACATCACTTGTATATACTGTTCATATTGAGTTGAAATATGTGACGTTATCATACATTTGATTGATGTAATTCGTATAATTTTAGTGATGAACACATTCCCTTTATTTCCTAAGATGTTGTCAGGTTGTGTAGACCAATGTTGTTGTAAAGTGATTTCTTAGTTTATTATTGGTAAATGTTTTATTTTCAATCACGAGTCAACCCTACCGACTATAAAATGACATAACATTTACTAGGTTATTAAAATATGTGTTTATTATTACGATGCTTGTGTCTATTTTATTGATCAAATCATCAGATAAATCATATTACATAACAAACATTGCTTTTCCTTACTGTCATCGTAATACCGTAAAGGCATCCTCATACATAATATGGTATATAAACAAAATGTAAAAAGGCTGATTTGCACGGAAACACCCTTAAATTGGGATAAATAAACGAATACAAAAAAAAGTCGAATCAAAATAAGGTTAGGTTTTTGGATCAAAATCAATATTTGGAGCAACTGTTAAATGCCGATATCTGGTTTTGTAACTGATTAGTTATTTTTATCAAGTCGATATTTCATGTTGAGTCTTTGAGGATAAACAATGGACGAGATTGACTTGTTAATTTTGATCCTGATCTCTTTCCTGATCTTTAAAATCTGAGTGAACATGGGGCCAAGGGTATATGACTATATGTAAAAGTATATGAGCCGCGTCACGACAAACCAACATAATGGGTTTGCGACCAGCATGGATCCAGACCAGCCTGCGCATCCGCGCAGTCTGATCAGGATCCATGCTGTTCGCTTACAAACTCTATGACGCGGCTCATATTTTTTTAAAACACATGCTGTTAACGTTACTACAGTATGTATTTATGATGACGATTTCTTTGCCTGTCAACCTTTTTACATTTAACCGAAATGAAAATCACTAAGGATTATAGGATAAAAATAACTTTTCAAATTACCGGTCTTATTGAAACCCAGGCTTATGTTCTTTTATTATACTTAATTATGCTAGCAAAAATATACAGAATAATATATTCTCCCGGATCAAAATTTCTTTCATTTTCTTAGTGATAAGTCGATGCATACTATATGCCAATCGGAATTTCCAGTCCAAAAAGTGAGTGTTATATTTTAAGTAGCACAGTAACAGCGTTATTTTTGTGTAACAGCTACTTGCACAATAAAATGCAAAGGATGTTCAGCTAAGAAGGCATTTTGTTTGCCGGAATGTTGTAATTGCCAATTTCTTACAGTGGCTGCAAAACAACGTTTAATTAGGAATTCAAAAAAAAAACCTTAATCTAAACGATGCAACCGGAGTAAATTGTGTTACTGTGTTTTAATAATTCAAAAGTTTCATTATATTTCTATTTTAGGATACAAGTTTGATTTAATAGTTTTCCTTGAGTAAAGAATAAACAATGGAATACCGACTACCTATGACCATATTAAGTTACATACTTATAGATTAAAATACAAAATCATTTCTAATACAGTTCAATAATGATTTAAACATTATCTTAAAAAATTTTGAACGTGTTTAACTAAATATGTATAAAAACTTGTATTTACCATTTTCTAAAGAAAATGCAGTACAATTTGATATGAAAACAAATTAGAAATTAATGTGAACGCTGTATGTAATATACTTTGACTGTTTAGTATGGTAGAATAACTGAAATCGTTTGGTACTTTTCTGCCGTATTAAGCTATCATTTTTGCAAGCTTGATAACGCCGTATCTAATGAGCATATGAGATCTCTACAAAAAAAGGAAGGTAACACCTTAACATTTTTCCATACACATATAACGCCGGTTCACGAGACATTCATTTAGATTTCCTAAATTTTCAAAAGTATTAATTTGTTTCCGTCTCCCGCATAATATTTTGTGTGTGATAGTTTAATCAGGTACGTATATTAATATACGTACCTGGTTTAATGTTATTTTTTTAAATCATATACCGAGTCTCATAATATATCTAATTTAAAACATTCAATGCAATAAAATACTTTTTACATTAATAAAACATAACGTTTCCTTACTTAATTACATTTGACCAAGAAGCTTTATTTGTAATAAAAGTCGCGTTTTTACATACAAGTATGTAACAGTATTATTAGAATATACTGGTACCCTTCTTTGTTCGGAGAATCTGTAATATAGTATTAAATGTATTACATGTATTACGTAAATATGACCTATTTTAGTAATTGGTCATTTATTTATGTAATAATCGCTTGAACAGCTGATTGACGTAAATCAAGGCATTATGACAGCACCGTTACCATGGTAATATTACTTAACACATCCTATAATCATAATACTAATTACATATACGCATTAACTAATATCTTTCACGATAATTCGCATTGATATAATAATCAGGTTTTATTCAAATAACATTTTTCTATACACGTTTACAAGAGGAAATTGTGTTGGTGTGCCGTAAAACCAATAAAAACATACACAAAAGGTGAAACATTAGTTCCCAATGGCGTACAATTATATATATATTTAGGTGACTTAAATAATTACAAACAAATTATCACTAAAGCAATTCATATACGTCATAAACGTAAAACTAGTACGTAAGCAAATTAGATAAGACATCATTTCTTAATTATTCAAACAATTTTAAGTGTAATTTTGTTACACAGCTGTATACACGAGCTTGTGTGTGATTTTAAGATTGCAAGGTGATAAATGCACGTGATGAATACACATCCGATGCCAAATGTTGCGTCTCCACAATGTATTATTGTTTTCGTTGATTTGAGTTCTTGTTTTTGAAATCACAAATTACACCAATCAGGAGATAAACACTTTTCAATAGTGATGCATATTTGTGTGATGTATTTAGCTTATTTTACTATATGTGAGCTCTATATCATAAATCTTGCCTTGTGAAACATATAATATAAACATACTGTTTATCAAATTAAACTCTAAGAGCTCTCATATCAATATTTTATCGATCGTTCATGTGCGATCTATCTAAAACTTAAATATTTATCACTCGGGCTATTTCCAGCACTGGCAATTAGGAAGAAAAAGATTGCTGTAATTAATGTTATTTCTCCAGAATTAAGTGAATAATGTTGTTTGAAAAGATGCTTTCTCGTAATGCATTTACAGTATTACACGTTATTTATGTTATCTCTATTCTGGTGTTAATCTTAGAAATGATCAATGATATGGGCAAGATTTGTTGCAAGAATGTGTGAATTGTGATGGGTAGGACAAATTAAAGCTTTACTTACATAGTCACATTCCCTTTAAAGCGATGATTTGAAAATATAAAGGGATAAAAAAATGCATCATATATGTAAGATTAAAAACACAGGAAATATAATGAAAAATATTTAGGATTGTTGGTACATCTTCTTTGGCTTGGTTTTAAGTAGCACTAACACAGTATGATATATGACTACTTTACAGCTTTAATGGTGGAGGAATACATCAGGTGTCCTTCCGTGTATTATTTCGGGCACGAACCTGAATAAACCCGTCGACGTTCCGTAATCTGGCAAAATAGCTTCCTGACATAAAATAATCCAAAGTTCATGTCGGGATTCGAACCCATAGCGACGGGGGATATGTGGTTTGAAATCAATGACCTTAACCAATCGGCCACGCACATTCATAATAAAGGAAGTGAAAACCTCCATTCCGACCATATATATATATATATATATATATATAAAGTATAAGTAAAATCTCTAACTTGCCGTATATAAGCAAAAACGCTATTTAAATTTGCCGTAGCTTTCGGCCTTGCGGCCTTCTTCAGCAGCATTTATTTCACATACAAATATATCAAACAAAACAATGGAAGTGACGTAACGTCAATGAACGACGCCCGCCGTGGCGTTGGTTGCCGTCTGCCGCGTTATTCTTTTGTATTAACTCCATACGGTCTATAGGTTCTTAATTTTTTTTTCCACAAATTTTCTATTGTTTTTCTGTATTGGTCATTCCCGTATAGCTTTTCCAGCCCCATTATCGAAAAATCTTTAACTGTGTGGCCATTCGTGTAAAAATGCGCCGCTAACGGATCGTTGTACTTGGTTCGTATTCTGGATAAATTTAGAAGGTGTCTTTGGTACAACGTATCCCCTGTTTCTCCAACATAAATATAACGTTCGCAACGCTTACAATAAACTGCATACACAACATTCGTAGATTTGCACGTGATCTGATTTCGAACCTTATACGAGGCCCCGTTCACACCAATGAATGTGTCTGCTTCAATAACGTACGGACAAATCGCACACTTTTTGGATCTGCAAGGAGCACAGGAATTCGGCTGTTGAAAAAATAGTTTATTGTGTTTCTTATGAACGAGAATGTCTTGTAGATTATTATCTCTTCTAAATGCCGCAATTGGTGGATTCGGGAATATTTCCTTCATTCTATCTGAGGTGTGTAATTCAGGTAGGTGTTTTCGTACTATTTGTCCTACATTCGGGAGCGCTCTGGAAAATGTCAGTACCAAGGGGATTCTTTCAGTGTTTTCTTTATCTTCATTATACTGTAATAGGTCACTTCTTTTCTTACTATCTACTTTATTTAATTCTGTTTCAATATGTCGATCTTCATAGCCTCGTTTCTGTAACTGAGTTTTAATATTTTCTCTATGTTGTTTGTAAGTCGATTCATTAGTACATATTCGCTTAGCACGGAGGGCAAGTCCATATGGTATTGATTTTTTTGTCGATTCCGGATGAGACGAATTTTTATGCAAGTACAGGTGTTTATCTGTGGGTTTAGTGTATAGGTCTGTTATTAAAATGCCATTCTGAATCTTCGTCATTACGTCGAGAAACTCAAGTTTTTCAGCTGAATATCTTAATTCTAATTTTATTCTTGGATGAAGGTTATTCCCAAGCTCATGGAATGTTTTTAACGACTCGATACCGTGAGTCCAAAGGCCCCAAACGTCATCAACATACCGGAAATACTCAAGCGGAAGTTTATCTGTTATCGTCATCAGCTGTGATTCCCATGATCCAAGATATGTAGATGCGTAATTCATCCCTAATCGTGAGCCAATCGCTGTTCCTTCTGTCTGCGTAAATTTTCTTCCATCAAATGAAAATAGTGTTATTTTCAAGGACAGTGTCCATCATATTAAGAACATCTTCTGTGGGTATGTTAGGGTTGGCACGTTGATTTAATGCACGTGCAACCGCATCTCGTGCCTCTGCCCGTGGGACACTTTGGGTACAGAGCTTTCACGTCTAAACAGAAAAGAA